AAGTTGATTATCTTAAGGCAACAAGCATTAACAAATGTCTGTCTTACTAGAATGTGTGAATACAATAGCTAGGTGCACTTGATAAAACTAGATACAATACGAAAGTTGAACAAGCCAAAATGTGACTTATCGTTTGAGGACACTTGTTGAAAGTTCCTGAGTGAAGCTCCGGACGCGGGAGATGTTTTCTCTGCAGTATAGCTGCTACACGTGTTCCATGTTTGGCCGTGGAGACCTGCGAAGCTCTGTTGACTTCCTGTCCTGTGCGCGCGAGTGTGCGTTGAGCCTAGTTGCACGCCTGTTTACTGTGTGCAGTGTGAAGAGAGGGGTGTCCCTTCGTATTTGATGCTTGCACGAAAATGAATACGACTCGACCTGGTGTGTAGGAGTCCATAAGCCTGGCGCGTTACGCAATTGGTAGCCGCGTAAACAAAAATGGATGAGAATTTGTAGTGTACATGCTGTCGGCTAAGGTTGCAAGTGGGACGGGAATCGTCGCGTGGTTTGAGTGGTTGTGACGCGTGATCTGATGAGTGACCTCTACAGTTCTAAGCGCCTGTTTTTCAGTGTGATATTCAATACATTGCTCTCCTCGGTTCGTAATTGTCATCACCTGCATTGTATCTTGGATCCGTGTTTAGTTGTATTTGCATGTAACAACATGTTAGTAGATATCAGGAGTTATGGTATTCTGGCTGCGAGGAGGGGGCTAGAGTCACACAAAGTATCCCGGAGTTTTCGTCAATCTTATGTTCCACCTGAAGCCAAATTGCACAAAATTAGCGAAATACACTCATTTGTTCTTCCGAGTGGCTCATCGGGAACCCAGCTGAATCTCTCGTCTGAACTTAGTTCGTGCTCTTGTTAAGTGAACTAACCTTCAAGACTATCGGGGCCAATAATGATGGCTCATCGGATTCTGTTAACAAAACACACCGAACTGCTCTCTCACAGTTAAATGGCCTCAGGTGGATAAAGACAGCCATTGTCACAATGCACGATAACCTTATTGGAGCCGATCGATCGAAGCATATCTACAACCGTTAATTTTATCATCACTCGGTAAGCGGCTCAGAGGAAGGATAATTTTACTAGATCAGTGAAATGTTCATCTGAGAAATAGTCACTCGAGAGGTCACTCAATATGTGAACACGTGACGTAGTTTCTATAACTGGGCACTCTATCCTATCTAAGTGAAAGCTAATCACGCTGTTTTTCGTTCGCACTTAAACAAAGGTCCTGGGCCGGAGTCTCCCTAATGAAGTTTACTGATATGATATCCCAATAAGGGTGAAACAGCTGTACAGTACTTGTCACGTGTTCAATGTAGATTGGCTTCATTGACATGAGGAAATCTCGATCGAATATTTACAGTTGATTGGTGACGAAACATCAGCAAGCTAACTGCCAGGTTGAACAAACAGCTGAGCATCCACTCGATCAACCATCGGTGAACACACCCGAGCTAGGCGTATCCAGGCACAATTAGGCAATATGATATACCGGAGCGATTGTAGTTCCTTGTTTCTTATTCATTGCTCAATTACATTCGGTGAATGTCTGTGTCACACGCCGATTTCTTTTTGAAAACCGGGTAGACGCTTAGTTGATATCATCATTTTGAACATTGTAGTAATTCACATGGCGTCCTTTACGAAATTTTCCGTTTTAGTTCGCATTTACAAAAGCACCAAAATAGTTGAAAGTTTTCTAACTTGTTGAGCAGAATTCGTCCTTCAGTTTGAATTTACCTGTGTGGTAAAATCAATGAGGAATTCACACTCCCTTCCATTCGTTCTCGGACTACTGAGCATCATGTGTCTCGTGATTTTCAGGAGTGGGGGGCTGGAACCACGCACCAGATAAAAACTCGAATACAGTTTGGCTGTATATGGCTGGCTGACAGTGGACCTAACGTCTACGTGGATTGGACAGAGCACCGATCATATTTCATTGGTGGATTTCCAGTCGAACAGCCTAATATCCACTCTCCCATTGAGGAGCACGAAAAGTACGAAAGCCGTTCGCAAAACGGAAAGGCTGAAAACAGTTTTCTTCAGCTTGATTAGTGGAAACTTCCTTTTAAGACCAGTGAGTAAACAAGGAATTAGAAATCAAGCCGTTCTGTTCTAGTTTGGCCACAGGAGCATCGTTCTAGGACGACGTCCATCTTATCATTACCATTTCATCAACATCATCATCATCATCATCATCCACATCATCATCATCATCATCATCATTATCATCTTCATCATCCTCATCATCATCATCACCATCATCATCATCATCATCATCATCAACATCATCATCATCATCATCATCATCATC